TCTAGTGAGGGAAAAGTGAGCGCGCAAAGAGCGTGCTCACTTTTATTCAGGAAACTTCGTGTAAGTTATTTCTAAATACTTAAGGAGGCTATGCGAAGGAGAAAGTCCTGAAGGTTTAATTATTTCCCCAATATTTTTCGCATGAACCTCCGCGATAAGCACTGTGCTCTTGAAACAATTAATGTAAATAATTAATAAAGTTTATAACAAACCCAAAAAAACTGACAGACATGAAAATAACTGAACAAATTATTTCTCATTTTCCCTGTAACTATATATTTATTAAACTATTCGTTATTATTGTTATTATTAAAGCAAATAATTTATTAAAGTGTGACCCAGTAGAACCATTTGATCAGCTGTTGCCTTGAAATATATTGTTCTTGTAAGCATTGTAATAGAAATCTATTGAATGATGCTTGCCTAGTATTTGATAAATCACTAATTAATTAGCCTCTTTATGATAATTAATGATAACTCATTAATTATCATAAAGAGGCTAATTACTAAAAGGCTAAAAAAGATTAATTTTTAGCGATTCCCAGCAAGTTTTTCGCGCTCGTATTCGACTTTTCCGCTTTGCTCGAGGACATCCTTAGCCTAATTCAAATAGCATTATATTAGACCATGCATAATGAAATCAGCTGTGCTGATTAGTCAATAAATTCCAGTGAAGAAAAGCAAAATTAGTTGGAGGAATGGAGCAGCTCGATTACTGAGGTTTTCAGATAACCGAGAAAAATTATTAAAATAGTATGGTAGACGGTCAGCCAAAACCTGAAAATGTGCAGCAATATTTGTTTGCTGGTATTTTTTGTTACAAGATGCCAACTGGCATATTCTTGAACAAGTCGCATATTATTAGCATGATGAAGATCCGGGCTTACGGATCGAAAGCTTTGCAGAAATAAATTTACTTGGTGTTTCCACAAACAAAGTATTATATGTTTTATCGCCACGCAAACATACAAAGAACTTATCTGTGGCATATTCTTCTAGCTTACACACCGGTGAACGAAATTATATATGCGATATGTTGGCAAATCTGATTTCGGCCAGAAACCCAAAAGTATATATAATACCTTTAGGCATGCATGTAGTATGATTTTCATAGCCGATTTTGAGCTGTCACTGCATCCTGTACACTAATTTAAGATTTAAATATTAGGTTACTATTTCGCCAATTTTAAACTGCTTTAACTTTAACTAATTGGCACTATACTTGCTCAAATGCATGTCTATATATTATTTTTTGCGGACGTTCATATGGATTTAAGGTATAGTTTATTTTTATTAGAAGAGAACTTGAAATTTTGCAATTTGTCATCATAGACATAGTACTTTTTAAAGGCAAGATTTTAAAATTGTCACATTTTTTGGATCGTGACTAATACACCACACGAGTACATACTGTACGAGTAACATACGAGTAACACACAAGTACATACGAGTAACATACGAGTAACATACGAGTAACATAGAGTACATATGAATAACATACGAGTGCATACGAGTAACACACGAGTACATACGAGTAACATACGAGTAAAATACAAGTACATACGAGTACATACGAGTAGAATACGAGTAAAATACGAGTAGTAAACTAGTTTTTAGTGTTTGTAGATTGAATACAGGCAAAAAGATCGTCTTCTCTGTCGAAAAAGGTGAAATAGACTGAAACCGGCTATCTTTAAAACCCGGAATGGAGGAACTGGGAATGGGGGAATGGGGAATGGGGGGACGGAGAATGGGGAATAGGGGCGAGAGAAGAAATGGTGAGGCGAGGGGGACGGGGGAGGTCTGCCCGATTCTATAAAGCACAACTTTGTAGTTTGTACAACATCTACTTTTAGGTATTCTACCTAGATAGTTAGATCACATGACACAAACCATAGGCTTCACATATTTCACAGCATGGTTTGCTTTCAAAATCCTGTGAGCATCACATAACCTAACTGCATCTATACTTAACTAGTACTAGGGAATAAACTTACAATCCTCACATAGACTCAATCACAACATGTGGCTGGACAAATATACGAACTACACAGTTAACGTTAACAACAAAGACCAAGACGTTTACAATATCTCACTGCATGGTCTGCTTTCAAGACCCCGTTGAAAATATTAGAAATCCATTAGATATATAATGAATATAAGTAAACCACAGGTCCAAGACGCATGTAGAGGTCCTACTACCTATCACAAAATTAAATTAATATTGATCGTTTATTGTCGCTGGATATGCAAACAACATACATATCGTTACACATGGAAAAGACGGCAGTTTGAAGTGTGATCGGGCCTGCGTAAATCGCGCAACAAAGATTTGCGAACTATGTCCTGGCAGTAGCGCAAGTCCGTGGATCATTATAATAATAATAATAATAATAATAATAATAATAATAATAATAATAATAATAATAATAATAATAATAATAATAATAATAATAATAATAATAATAATAATAATAATAAAACTTTATTTAATGAGGGATTACACTGATTACTTAATATAGTATTCTTCCCAATGACCCTCGATATCTAATAGTAATATTGAGAGTAACATTGACAATGAGTAATATGCTTACAATCGATGCAGCGGAATTTATTAACGTGATCTACTTCATAATTCAATTGAATAAAGTAGGTTTTGAGCTTCTTTTTATAGGAATAAATTGAATGATTTTCAATATCTTTTAATTCGGAAGGTAAAGAATTAAATAAACTTGCACCACTGAAGGAAATTTTGGATTTTGCTTGCGTAGTCTTAACTGATGGAACTTTTAAGTCTGTAATAGACGACCTAGTTGGAATTGGATGAGAGTCGCGAACAAAGACAAACAATTTACGAAGATCCGGCGGCCAAGATGTTTTTAAAGTATTGAATACCAATAATATTTTTCTCATTTTTATCAAATTAAAAATAGGTATCCAGTTGAGTTTACAAAAAAGCACAATCGAAGGCACTTCAGTTGACTGCTCAAGAATTAGTCTCGCTGCACGTTTCTGTAGTTTTAGTAGGCACGTAATTAGATCGTTATTAGCATTGCCCCCGACTGTGCTACAATATAGCAAGTGTGGGTAGATTAGTGCGTAATATAATTGAATACGGGATTGAAAAGTGAGATAGCTACGTATACGTTTGAGCAGGTAAAGTCTAGAATTGATTATATTGTAGATGGTATTAATTTGCCTATCCCATTTCAGATGTTGGTCTAATCTAACTCCAAGTAAAATGGCGGATGTAATCTCCTTAACATTATTGTTATTGACTTCAATGGTTATTGGACTAAGATCAGGGAATTTGGATTGGGAATATATTTTCATTATTTTTGTCTTGCCAGGATTAAGAGATATTTTGTTATCGTTAGTCCAACGGGACACCGAGGTCATATCTGACTTTAGAGAGACACTAAGTTCGTGAAGGTCCGATCCGGAGGATATTAGTGTAGAGTCATCGGCAAATAAAAAAGGCTTAGAACTTCCAACGTAACTGGGCAAATCGTTAATAAAGTTAAGAAAAAGAATTGGTCCTAGTATAGATCCTTGAGGCACACCAGACTTTATCAGAGCTGGGTTGGATAGGGATGATGCAATTTGTACTACTTGGTAACGATCATTTAGATACGATTTAAACCATTTTAAAGCTATTGGAGTAATGCCATAATGTTCTAATTTCTGCAGTAGCAATCTATGATCGACCAGGTCAAACGCTTTGGAGAGGTCAATTAGAGCTATACCATTAATTAAACCTTGCTCAATGTTATCGAGAAGGTGTTCACAGATCAATATTAGAGTAGATTCACAAGAGTGATGGGCTTGAAAACCATGCTGGCAACTTGATAGAATGTCATTTTCTGTGAGGAATTTTACATCTGAGTTGGCAACATGTCGTTCGAGAAGTTTAGATAGAATCGGTAATATAGAAATGGGCCTGTAATTGTTTCTCTCAGTGCGTGATTCAGTTTTATAGATTGGAATCAGTCTAGCTTTCTTCCACATGTTGGGAAAGATGCCATTTTTAATGCTCATATTACAAATGCGAAGTATTATGGGTGCAATGGAATGAATCGAGGACTTGATGAAGTAGGCAGGAATACCATCAAGACCGGTTGACTTGTTCTGGTCTAGTTCGGCTGCAAGATTTAGTATGTCATCGATTGTTATCAGTGGAATTGTAAACTTAATATGATTTGTTGCAATTGGTAAATGAGTATTAATTGGGTTGTTTAGTAAACTGATATCAAAGTTGTCTGCAATAGAGGAGAAGTATTTATTAAAGAGATCGCCAACCTCAATAGGATCACTGATCTCCTTGCCATTAATGTTAAGTGTTATTTGGGAGACAGTGTCATTGGTCGGCAAGATATCTTTTAGAATGTTCTTGGCACGGTACCGATCCAAAAGAAAGGCAGATCCAAAAGAAGGCATAAAGATAAAGTATTGGACATGGCATTAGGAAGTGCTCCAAAGAGCGCGGGGAAGAAGCCAAGCAATCGAAAGAAAAGCAACTCGCAGAAACCCCCTGTTAAAGAGACTAGGGACCTCCTAGAAGGTAATCGATCTGTCTTCGTCAATCCACAAGCACCGGTATTTCCACTAAACGTAGCTCCGGTTCCAATCTTGCCTACGATACAGCAACAAACAGAGAGCAACAGGCTTAATAGTCTTTTCCCCGAAGCAGCTCCTCAGAATGTCTTCCCGTTCCCCCATTCACCGTTCCCTCATTCCCCGTTCTCCCATTCCGGGTTTCAGTCTATTTCACGTTTTTCGACAGAAAAGACGATTTTTTTGCCTGTATTCAATCTATAAACACTAAAACAAGTTTACTACTCGTATTTTACTCGTATTCTACTCGTATTCTACTTTCTCACTTTCTGATTTACCACTGGTTGCATTGTAAATCTTACAAAGATTGACCGCTCCTGATTTATACATTACTTATAAATAACCAAAAGAGTAATATATTTCATTCTTGTTTGTTTGTAGGAGCTATGAGGGCGCACTATTTCACTTTGCGCAGAAAGAAACAACAAATCGAGAAAGGGCAGAGGCCAAAGGTGTTGCAGAGTGAGCGTCGTCGAAACCGTTTGGCTGAGGTAAGAATTCGAATTTATTTACTGAATATAACATTTAGGCAGAGACACTTTTACAGTAAAATTGCAATATTGCGAAGCAATTTTTTCAATGTTGATTTTAAATTAAATTGCTTGTAGCAAATTGCAACCGCTTTTGACAAGTTGCCGCGTGGCAGCTACAATATATCGAAAATATATTTTGAAGTTTAAATGCTAATGGCAATTGTTCCGACATTCATGTGAAACTTTGAATCGTGAATTGAATCAATGTACCAAATCACTCCAAATGTAATCTAAACCTACTGTATTCATGTTCAAGAACAAGTCTTTCCTGCATGATAAACAAATAAAATTGTTTTTTTAAAACATCGTGTTTTTGTGCGTTTTGTAATTATAAATATAGTATAGGCCGTGGGCCGTTGGCCAAAATTATTTCACTTCGTGGCAACCCCCTGGGGAATAGTTTTTCTGTGGTTCAATGCATAGTACCATAGATTCTCGATTACCACAAAAAGTTCACAAGCAAAAAACTTGCCAAACACGGAGAAAATGGGTGATCAATGATTATCCTCTATTAAATTGTACCATTGTCCTCTACTAAATTGTATATACACGCGTTTGTATATCTGTGTTACATATGTAAGTTATATATTTGTATGTGTATATAAACGTTTGAAAAATACATAATAGTTAGTTTTTAAGGAACTGTTCTGTATTTTGTCTCCTATTCTCCTTTCTTTTTAAAATAATCTTGTATATTAAATTACATAAGTTTCCTCGATAAGCCCTAGCTGCTTTTGAAACAAATGTAAAGTTTATATATTGTTTAAATAAAAAAAATTGTATTACAGCAAGAAAATGTGAAATTTTGTATTCAATTACAACAAAAAGGACTTGCATCATCAAAAAGCTTACAAAAAACAGCATGTAAGACTTTTAAACAGTTTTTGACCCTTCAAATAGTCTTTGAGTTATTGCTGTTTTAAATGTGAAAATTGGACCAGAATGTCGCAATAAGGACTGGGTACTAGGTCAAAAACGCGTTTTTGACAGCGTATAACTCGAAAATAATTTGAGGTATAAAAAAACTGTTCAAATGTCTTGTATGTAGATTTTTGTAAGCTTTCTGATGATGCAAGTCATTATTGCTGTAATTGAATATAAAATTCACATTTTCTTGCTGAAATACAATTTAATAGAGGATAATCACTGATCACTCATTTCCTCGGTGTTTGGCAAGTTTTTTGCTTGGGAACTTTTTGTTGTACTTGACAATCTATGGTACTATGAATTGACCCACAGAAAATCTATTCCCCGGGGGGTTGCCACAAAATTGCTTTTCTAAGCACTTTTTCGCACAACGGCCCACGGCCTAGTATGGCGCCCGACGATTTAGTCCCGCTATGCAAAATTTCCGTGTTCATTGACTGTGAAAACAATCGATTTCTAAAGAAATGAGTCTGTGCTGCTAATAATTTTGAATTTGCACAGCGGGGCTATAAATTGTCGGGTTGGCTTCGCCACTGATAATTTTTGTGCATGTCAATTACCCCACCTAGCTTTCGAATGGTAAATTTAAGATTTTTCGTCGTGTAGCCTAATTATGCCTACTAAATTAAAATTTAGAAACGACCATACTTGTAGAGAAAAAAACGATATGTTCGCATGCACTGCGTTATTTATTTGCTGTTATAGTGTGTTGCGTTGTGTTTTGATGTCTCTATATATAGTTAGTGAAATAGTAAATCTTTTAACTAAAATTATTTTATTACATACAGAAAGTACGCCGTCGAACTGACATGTTAAATAAATCGACAACCTGGCCCGAAGCTGTCAAGGCTGAAATCCGTAATGGATTAAATATTAATTGCACGTCTCCCGAGCAAAGTGAGGAGGAAGACGGCGAGGAAAGTCAGCAATCTGACTCGGACTCTGACGAAGATGGACACGAAAGTAACAAGCGGAAGGTGATAAAGGTCAGAGCACTATCGTGGAGAAGCGAAAGGTTCACTAACATTTTGAGTTCGTTGGATCGTAAATATCTAAGAAAGATATCTGAGAGGGCGCGATCGATGATGCAAGAAAGGAGAGCAGGAGAAACACTCGTACGCCATGCACCAGACGACGTACCTGCCTGGATGGTCAAAAGTTGAACTCATTTCGCACAAACTAGTACTTCATGTACATTAGTACTCAAGGTCTAAATTAGGGCACATGAATTCTTACTTTTCTAGCTGTTTTTAGCGAGTGGCGGGCGGTCAAAATGCACATATAGTCCAGCAGTCAGCAGATGAGTGTTAAAATCATTCACTCTGTGAAGAAAGCATTACATTTAACTGGCACCACGATAAGTATAGACTGAATATAGACTTAAAAAATCGTACTAACATAAATGCTCTATTTTCAAGCAATGACATAGCTATGTCATTGCATGAAAATAAATGTGAAATATTGAAATTTCTACTTTTTGCTAAATATATTTTTATTATCGAATGATGAAAACTCTGTTGCATTAAAATATAGTTACATGAAATGCTATTGTTCTCTCTGCCAAATTTGATGTTGTCTTCACGTAGACTCAAGTGCACCATTTGATGCACATGAGTCGTCTTGGACTGCGTTCATGCACAAATATGAGTCGTCTTATACGTACGTTCATGCAAGTTAGGAAAACGTGGTTTCATCTCTGTTCTTGCATGAACATGGGAATTCATGGAACTCTTTCGTCTCCGTCCTGCATCTTTCTTCCCTCGAAATACGTTGTACTGACCTATTTGTCGTTACACACCATACTCTCGTGCCCGTTACTCTCCTATACGTAGCTAGGTTATCTAAATTCTGGCTGTTACACGAAGGTTTACCCGCGAAGGTTTACTTTTATTTTTTTTGTTTCAAGGCATTTTGCGCTTCCAGACCATGTTATAGATCGAGGCCTTTACCTCCGGCTAACCGATGATGCAAGCAATTAGCTGATCAAGTTATTTTTAATCATACCAAGTCAAAGTAGTCGACTCGTTTTGCAGCCTTCGTAATTCGTGTTGTGAGTTACGTCTGTTATAGCTGATTAACTATTACAACAAGTAAATTAACAACTTGTCTTATTCTGTTAAATATAATGTTATTAAACTGCAACTATGAATTGTGAAAAATGACTACAATGTCTTATAATATTATATGAAAGTGAAATATATTTTATAATGAAACAGAATACAGTATTTATTTGTCTTGTGTTTGTTTACCATTAATATTTCTATGCGTACATCTATACTAGTCAGTAATTTTCTATGATGATATCGAGATATATGTAATCAACATTAAAAATTGCTGGCCTATTCAAAAGCACGTAATTAATTTCACTAAATTTGCAAATATCGATATCCCTAAAATGTAATACGTATACCTGTTATAGTATAATGCATACCGTATTTACTCGATTGAGCGCCGCCCCCGATTGAGCGCCGCCCCCGAATGAGCGCCGCATTTAAGATCAATTTTTTTTAAAGAGCGCCGACCCCGAATGAGCGCCGCACCAAACAGTTTAAAAACCTTTCGCCGTCAAAATGGGGGCATTCAGTGACAATTCAAGACATTTAAAACTTGTCTATTTTATAGTTAAAAGTTCTTGTCATAAGTCACAAAAAAAATATATTTTAAAGAGCGCTGCCCCCGATTGAGCGCCGCCCCCGAATGAGCGCCGCATCTGAAGCTCTAAAAATTTAAAGAGCGCCGCGGCGCTTAAACGAGTAAATACGGTATGTACATGGAAAACGAATATGCATTTGTCAGCAAATTGGCAAGAATTTGGCAGCAAATATGCATTTACTGCAAATTATAAAATGAACCAATAATCGCATCATATGCGATTATTTGCTATCTCTATATTCACACAAAATTCGCCACAAATTCGCATTACATTCAAATATAAAAAACGACACCATCTTTGCATCAAATTGGCAATGCGTGGCATCGCGGTATTTGCAATCCGGCACATGGTGCAAAGTTGAAGCCAATTTATAACTTTGCATATGTGCAAATGTGGTCAAAGATGTGCGATTTTAGAATTCGCATCAAATTTGCACATATATTTGCACATATGCAAATCTAATTTTTCATCCCGTGGCACCTTTTCAGGTCTTCCACGTCTCGCTATGAAACTCTTAAAACTCAACAGAAACTCTTCCATTTCCATAGATTTAGCCAAATCTAGGTGTAAAGCTCTCGTCAGACTACAGGCGAATAAGATGATATATGCTTTTCCTTCTCGCGTCTGCTTAACTCGGATCTTAAGGGGCCCTGCGTAATCGAATCTAACTACTTGAAAAGCAGTGTTTCCTTCTGTTCGATCCTTTGGGAGCAAACCAGGTGGTGGACTGGTCAGAGATGTGATCTGGAACCTCTTGAAACTGGCGCATTTCTTGATAAGCCGTTTCGCTAGCTGTCGCAGGAGAGGTACCCAATGGTTTTCGCGAACTTTTGCCATCGTGAGTCCCACTCCACCGTGGAGTGTATCTTCATGAGCTTGCTGTACGAATTTCTCTGTGTAGATTTCAGTATCTGGAAGGTAAATTGGGTAAAGTCCTTGAACTCTGCCTCGACATCCTAACAATCCCGATTGATTGCGCTGTAGGTTGAGTTGCATTCGGTCAGCATCGTAGTTCTCACTCGCTTCGCCTTGTCGTTGAGCCCTTTCTTCCCAAAATTTCTTTTGTGCTTCAATCTCTTCTGTAATTAGTGGACCGACCTTTTTAATTTTGTTTCTCGCGTTGTGCACAAACCTCGCAATCCATGCACACGTTCTAATCACCGTCCAGTAATTTCGCCTTTCAATAAGTTGACTGAACTCATCCGGTTCATGATCGGTCGCCAATCTGAACAATTCTTTTTTTTTTTTTTTTTTTTTAATAATTTAATAAAATACCGATTTGTAACCTGTAGGTTAAATTACATCAGTAAAAAGTCTCATTATACTACAATATGAATATCTAAATGCATAAAATTATTCATAACTTCAGTTGAAAAAGTTATAGAGTTCAAATTTAAAAATATTAAAACTATGGTCTTTCATATGTGAAACCATCTGTGGAAAAAACGATTTCATAAATCTGTCCGTTTTACAACTATAGTTATTATAATCGCTTCCATAACGTGTATTATAGTTATGATCAAGTTTAGGCGGTAAGAGGTCACCCAATTTGTCTCCATGTGCATTTTTAACAAAAAAACGTTCGCATAATAATCGCCGCTGATCTTTCAGTAAGGGTATACCAGTAATACTGCAAGCTTCTCTATAAGTAGCGAATGGCAAGACAATACGCAGAGCCCGCTTCTGGAGTTTTTCGATATCTTCACTTAGGTATTCTGTAATATTGAAGTGCCAAACTTGGCAGGCATATTCGAGTACTGGTCTGACAATGGTGCAGTATACCAAAATTAGAATGCTATTGTCGGCATTTGATCGTTTTAACAACCTTAGCATATAAAGGCGTTTTCCCGCTTTTTTAACAATATGGTTCACATGCTCGTTCCATTTCAAATCATCTTGGATTGAGAGACCAAGAATTCAGGCAGATTTTACCCGTTCAATACCAACGTTATTTATAGTTAACGGTAAAAACTCATGTTTTTCTCTTGCAAAGTCAATTACCATTTCCTTACATTTGCCGATGTTGAGCTTCATATTATTAACTTCACACCAATTATAGATAACATTCACTAAATCTTGTAGTTCACTACTCTCAGTTGATGTAACTCGTTCAGCAAACGTACTGTCATCAACATATTTCCATCTATCGCTCCAATCAATAAGAAGATCATTTATCATAACAAGGAACAAAGCCGGCCCTAACACCGACCCTTGCGGCACTCCACCGTTTAACGTTTGCCAGTCCGAATGACAGTTAGCCAACTTGACTCGTTGTTTACGATCAGAGAGAAAACTTCTAATCCAATTTATAATGGTTTGGGAAACAATCATTTGTTGTAGCTTATTCACCAGTATGTTGTGATCTATTCGATCAAAAGCTTTTTCAAAATCAAGCAAGAATACTCTCACCGCATTGCTTGAAGCATCTGTAGCACTCAGGAGGTGATGGGTCAGGCTCAGTAGGGCATGAGTAGCCGAGGAATTTTTAACGGAGCCAAACTGCCGCGTATCAATCTTTGCACCAATTGACTTAAGTAACCAGTCTGTAACAAACCGTTCGCAAATTTTGGATAAAGTGGTGCTAAGTGAGATTTTGGATAAAGTGGTGCTAAGGCGCAAATCTTTAGAAATGTCTTTAGGGACTGATTTTTTTGGAACAGGGATAACGTTCGCTTTTTTCCACATTGAGGGTACAACTGCTTCTTGAGTCGAAGCGTTGAAAATCGATGCCACAGGGGAAGAAAGAACATATGCATAAGATTTAAGCACCCAATTAGGTATTCCGTCAGGACCAGGTGATTTGGAAACGGGGATGGCGGACAATTTACAGTATACATCTTTTTCTTCGATAATAAACTGTGGAAGGATATTTGTACTGCCATTTTCAATTAGGTCATCAACTGGAGACTTATTCAAGGGAGGAATATCTTGGATAGATGAGACAAAAACATCATTGATTTTATCTGCTAACTCTTTACCAGCAAAAACATGGTTGTTTACAACGAAATTAGAGAATGTTTTGTTCTTGGCGAAACCCGCAAGCTGTTTTATACATTTCCACCATTTTTTAGCATTGGGGTTTAGTTTTAACTCATCCATCTTTTTCTTAAGGAAGGTTGACTTGAGTCTCTTACTTTCTCTATTGGCAAGATTTCTCAATCTACGATATAGCAAACTTTTGCCCTTGCGGAACGCTCTTCGTCTATTTTCTATAATTTTCTTAAATTCGACTGTAACCCATGGTTTATCATGATCGTGCAAGTTTACAATTTTACTAGGGAAAAAACAGTCCAAACCAGTATTTATAACTGTTTGAAAAAAAATCTAACTTTTGTTCACATGATTCAGCGCG